ATAACGGATTCGGAGGTTTTGTATATTATTTGCATTGTTTGCGACGATGGATTTCTCGCCAATTAAATCATTAACCTTTGCATTTGTTTTTGTGTGAATAATTCATGAATATATATATATATATATATATATATATATATATATATATATATATTGAATGGATAAATATAAATAAATGTACATATAAGTGTACATAAGAAAAACAGTGATCAGTGCTAAATAACAGAGCTATTAAGTATATGTTAATAAATATGCATAATACCCCACGCGGGCAGTACAACTCGGAGTTTCATGCTCTATGCAATCGTCAGGTATAGTTTGGGAGGAAAGAAACACCCTATTGAAAATTACTTACAACTTTTATTTATATCAACACATTTGCATGAAATAAATTATTTTGTGGTCTCTAAAGCGGCAGAATTTTGTTGCTAATTTCTGTTTTTATTTCATGGTGACATGTCTAGTCCAGAATAGTACAACACCTGACAATGCATCTGCGGGCTCAGCAATCACCCCGATACGAAATATCCATGGTGCAAGTGTTCATGCACCTCGTAGATAACAAAACCATCAGAAACTATCCTTCCAAGCTGATGATTTCTTGTAGACACTCACAGAAAGTGGAGTAATGGATAGTGGCTCGGATTGAGGAATCGAAGAGCCGAGTTCGAATTCCAGCCGAACTCCATTACATTCACTTACGTGCTAAAGGTATGAATCCTCTTCTTCTCCCTCAAGCTATAGTTAAATAGCAGGAAAGACCGAGTTCTGTAGCTTTTGATGGCAACTGGTCTACCGCAGAAAGAAATGGCAACCTACTGCGGGAAAAAAAAATCTGCCTGGTTAGTCATGTATCGAAAGATATATGATCGCCTAAACGTGTATCAGGTATGGCACATAACTGGCACACAAAAGCTGTCGTCCTTCCAAACTGGAAGAAAATTTGTCAAGGCGGAATATTAACATTGTACTGTACTTCTACTATTACACTGTTCAGTATGAATATATATATATATATATATATATATATATATATATATATATATATATATATATATATATATATATATATATATATATATATATATATATATGTATATATATTTAAATAAAAGAAAGAACAGTATGATATATAATCCGGAGTTCTTATAGATATTTTATTTTTACAAAATAGTGCTCAATGTAAATTTAGGATGAAATGGAACTAATGTCTTTAATTTAATTACAAAATTAAATTCGTGGCTTTTTAGCTTCCATTTTTTTAACATGGTTAGAACTGTGTAGCGGCAAAAACATATTTTAAATCAATTAATTTATAATATATATATATATATATATATATATATATATATATATATATATATATATATATATATATATATATATAGGAGATTCTTTCCACCTGTTCGGTATATACGAACCACCCTCAAACGAGACGGACACAAACATGAATGGGGGCCATGGGCAGTGCTTCGTGAAACTCGCTACCTTACGGACATCTACTTTTTCTACCTTCATTTATATACGTTATATATTAAACTAACCACAACTGACTATTAAGGGATAAAAACTTTTCGCGTTAATACGAACAGACGACATTCTGGTTTTTTTTTTTTGTCGTCCAAATGGGTGAATTTGTTTTGCTTATGCTAAGTCTCGCATAAACACTATATAAAATTTACTTCATCCATAATGTTGAATGTGTTACAATCGTTCAACTTTTTTATAAGAAAAATCTCAAGTTGATGTTAAAAATGGCCGCAAAAAACTTTATTTATTTAAGATGGAATGATTTATTATGACATGTCTCTCTATTTAGATATGTTGTATTTATTTTCAAATTTTCTCGTTGAATTGTTTACCTATATTGCATATGATCTATTATTGTATATAATTAGGTTACAATAAAATTTGTATTTTATATGAATACTACCTTATGAAAATTGGGATGTAGGGTATGGGAAAAATATATTTATTTAAGGTGGAATGATGCATTATGAAATGTATCTAATTTGCATTTAATTACATTGTATTTATGTTCAAATTTTCTAGTTGAATTCTTCAGCTATATTGCATATGATCCATTATTGTATATAATTAGGTTAGAATAAAATTTGTATTTTATATGAATAGTACCTTATGAAAAGGTAGCATGGGTATAGGAAAAATATAAATCCAGCACTTCTCCCTCTGATTATGGACAGACTGGGTCTTATAGATTTTGGTTGCAACTGGTCTAAGAGAAGGTCAACTCTGAATTCAAAACCTCCAACTATGGATTAAATAACCTCACCAACCTGCAATTGGCCAAGCGTGTTGTGTACAGCTACACCCCTCAAGACCTGGTCAATCAAGGAAGGGTTCCTTTTCAAGGAGTGAGAAGGCTCTGGATCTGTTTTATCTCTGGTACCTTTTTTTTTTCTTCCTTCTTTTTCATAAAAGCTTCTGTTAACTATACCTAAAAAAAGGGAGAATGATTAGCAGCTTGGCCTGTGTGTAT